ATTCCTTATTTGCACTTTATGTCTATAATATCTTCAGCACACAGGAGTTCTAAGTTTTCTTTGGTCAAAATTATCGCCAAAGCAGAGCCAGTTATTTGCTGACATTTCAACTATTTTCTAAAGAGGCGATGCTGAAAAGCAGGGTATTAAACTACAAAAACTTGATAGTGCAGGCTCAATTGGTAATTTTGAATAAAAGTACAAAACGCATCCAAACAATATGCTCATTATTTGTGATGTTTGTAAATAAATGTCTAAAAAAACCTTCATACATGAGAAAATGTTGATAACATTTTAAAGAATGTTTTTTTCTGAATTGAGGTTACTGGATGCTGCATTTGAATACCCCTATCTAAATTATATAAACAAAATTATATAAACGGCAATGAATTTGATTTATTAATAACTTTTGAATTAATGTGAGCATACCATACAAGTTTAATGCATCCCCTGCTTGTATATCTAGAGGCTTAGAACAGGCGATGGGGGGGGGCGCACGTAAGCCAACAGTGGATTTATTAAAATATGTATTTTGACCATAGAAACACCTCTGTCACTTACTAAGGGCATATTATTAACACAATGTTCAGGTTATTTATACCAAATCGGGAAAATATTACCGATATTTATACCTATCTTGACCAGACATAAGTCCGATACTTATACCTAAAATTAAAAAAAAACAAGACCCATTTCAGGGGCATGTCCGCAATGCAAGTTCTATGTATTGCCCCCCCCCCCCGCGGGTATGTTACCACTTTCTCACTAATCACTTGATTAATATAATTACTTGGCTAATCGAATGAAAACTTGGTTTGATTCCTGGATATTGCCAGTAAAAATCTTTTAAAATTTAGAAGAAATACCTTAAATGAATATCATGTGTTCTTGACTTGCCTGAATAGTTATTACCCCCACATAATGGCCGCACAATACATTAGTAGGATGTCACAAGTTTAATAAGAATTATATATGCACAACTCTCGGCTGTGCCTCATTTTTGTTATCAGTAAAATCAGACATGTGCAAAATTTCTTTGACAACTTATCTGTATTTCAAATTTGTATTCTACGCTTTTAAACAAAGAGAAAATCTACTTAACCAGTTATGACTGATGATTATTTGAATGATTCTCTATAGGCCTGAGGGCATTGTACTGAATAAATTCGTATCATATCATATATGCCCAACATGACGTAATGTAGAACAATGATGACAATATTGTGAAGTTTACAAGAGCATATCTGTGAGTGCTATTTTACACTAAACATCACAACTGTGGATATTATGAACAATGGTCAAGTGATAAATAATAAGATTTGATTGAAAACAAGAATAAACAATTACGGACAATAGTGTATCTCTTATTTCCAGTCATAGTCACCAATATGAGATATATATTTGGTTTCTCCTTGACTGTTGTACAAGGTTTCTAAAATTAAAAAAAACATGCCCTGGTATCCTCCCCGTATACAAGATATAAGTACATTCTTCATAGTCACTTATTAATAACTGTTATTTAACAGCCATTTACATTGTTGCTAAGTCGGCGGGGAAAGTTGTTTACATATCGCGAAAGTTGCTGAGTCGGCGAGAAACTTGCTTACATATCGCGGAAGTTGCTAAGTCGGCGATAAACTTGCTTACATATCGCGGAAGTTGCTAAGTCTGCGCGGAAAGTTGCTGAGTCGGCGCGGAAGTTGTTGAGTTGGCGCGAAAATTGCTAAGTCGGTGATAAACATGCTTACATATCGCGGAAGTTGCTAAGTCTGCGCGGAAAGTTGCTGAGTCGGCGCGGAAGTTGCTGAGTTGGCGCGAAAATTGCTAAGTCGGCGATAAACTTGCTTACATATCGCGGAAATTGCTAAGTCGGCGAGAAACTTGCTTACATATCGCGGAAGTTGCTGAGTCGGCGCGGAAATTGCTAAGTCGGCGAGAAACTTGCTTGCATATCGCGGAAGGTTGCTGAGTCGGCGCGGAAGTTGGTTACATATCGACGATTGTCGCCATGGGCCACCGTAGATGTTCTAATCTTGGTGTTTTTCCAGTGATTTCTCTTGGTGCAATCCAAATACAGTAGGTGTGTCTTGTTTACCTGAGATTTGCAAGAGTTTGAGCTGGCCAACATGTTAGTTTTTTTCATATGGTTGATTACTGGCATGTTGATTTCCCATTTTTGAGCCATATTTTCAACTTTCTTCGTCATTTTCATATAACATTGTCGTCTATGGAAATTCAATTAGTGGTATGAGCCCTGAAGTAACAGTTTGCCTAGGACCACCTGAGGTTGTTGTTTTAACCATAATTATGGCTCTATTCAGATCTATTTGGCAGATCTCATCTTACATAACCGAAGTTTACTTTGAACTAATTATTATAAGTTTTGACCTATCCTGACCTTGCATAGATCTGATAATTATGAGGTTGTGTGTCAAGCACACATTTCATGAGAT